TCGCTTTGGATAAAAGCATCTGCAAAATGACTAAATGTAAATGTAAAATCACTGAAGCTGTTTACACTGTGAAATTAATATCTTAACTTACATTCATACACACATCTGCACTTTGTTGTTTCTGACGACGAGAGAATTCGTCAAAAAGAGGTATTCAGTCAGCGAGCAAGTGAACAAAACACCGCATTTCAGCGATGACTCACCTGAACTTTTCTGATTGGCCATTGCATTCATAAGCTCAACAGAATCGTGTGTGATTAGTTATAATGCGCAGTGCTTTAAAAACGCGTCTGTATCTGGCTCAGCGCCAGTCAGCGAACGCATATTTGAATTTAGCAGCTGATGATATGACGCACTGTACGCTCTAATCACATTGGTGTGATTGTATCAAATATAAAAAATATTATTCTGCGATTTTTTTTGTCTTTTGGAAGCTGAATTCAAAATCCACTTGGCTCAGAAATCTCACTTTGAATGGGCAATGACGCCTCAGGTCATTAGAATACTTTTCCAGGATTCTCTGATGGAAAAAAAAGCTAAAATGAACAGCATTTTTGTAACAATATGCACTACCACTCAAAAGTTTGGGGTCAGTGTTTTTTTTTTCAAAGAAATCAACAGTTTTATTTAGCAAGGATGTGTTAAATCAATAAAAAGTGATAGTAAGATGTTTTATTTTGAATAAATGCTGATATTTTTAAGCTTCTTAAGAATCCAGAAAAAGTATCACAGGTTCCAAAAAAAATATTAAGCAGCACAACTATTTCCAACATTGATAATAAATCAGCATATTATAATGATTTCTGAAGGATTATGAGACACTGAAGACTGGACTAATAGCTAATGAAAATTCAGGTTTGCCACCACAGGAATAAATTATATTTTAAAGTATATTAAAATAGAAAACTGTTATTTTAAATTGTAATAATATTTCACAATATTCGTTTTTACTGTATTTTTGATGAAACAAATGCAGCTTTCATGAGCATAAGACACCTCTTTAAAGAACATTAGAAGTCTTACAGAATTTTCCATTTACTTCTTTTTGTGCATTTAAAACCTAATTATTTAGCACATCTTAAACCCTGCCAGATTTCTGCTAATGAAAACGAAGCACGTGGCTACTTCCAGTAATTTGCATTGACGCCTGTACAGATTTTTTGATTGCTGTGCTTTTTTAACTCTCCTAATAGCTAATGAAAATTCAGGTTTGCCACCACAGGAATAAATGATATTTTAAAGTATATTAAAATAGAAAACTGTTATTTTAAATTGTAATAATATTTCACAATATTCGTTTTTACTGTATTTTTGATGAAACAAATGCAGCTTTCATGAGCATAAGACACCTCTTTAAAGAACATTAGAAGTCTTACAGAATTTTCCATTTACTTCTTTTTGTGCATTTAAAACCTAATTATTTAGCACATCTTAAACCCTGCCAGATTTCTGCTAATGAAAACGAAGCACGTGGCTACTTCCAGTAATTTGCATTGACGCCTGTACAGATTTTTTGATTGCTGTGCTTTTTTAACTCTCCTGTCGATCTGCAGAGTGGTATTCTGCTATGTTGATTTTGGCCGCTTCATGTCGTTTTTGACTATGTGAGATGACTGTTGTCTTTGGAGGTGTGTGATGCTACTTAGTTTTTCAGAGGAGTCCAATGTCATATAAATCTGTCAGTAGAAACATGGAAGTACATACCACTCTTTCAGCAGATCAAATTGCTCGTGGAGAAGAACTAAAAGTTCCTCTAAAACATCACAAATTTTTTGTAGCTTAAACAAAGTGAGGTAAGTTATGCACCGAAGTTAAATTCTTCATATTAGGGGTTTGTTCAAATGCTCAACCGTGGGTTAATAATAATATAATATTGATTGCTATAGAAAACACTACTAATTAGCAAAATATTATCTTACATACAAATCTTGATTTTGTTTGTACATCTGTTCCATTTTTTCAGAAAATATGAAATGGCAGTGTACGCAACAAGTCTGACAGCTGCTCTTTGTTTCGTACGACATGTTTTCAGTTGGCAGCTGTCAAGTACGTGAGAAATGTAGCCAACGTCACACCCCCAGCGGATTAAACAGCGGCGTGTCGCACACCTGGAGGATGACTGTCCGGTAGCCGCCTGTCATTCCCGCCGGCCTCGTTTTCACTCTCTTCACGGTGGAGTCGTCTGCACTGCCGTTTTTCCTTGCTTTTAATGGTTACAGACTTAGGCAGAGGTGTCAAAATTTATGAGGGAAGGACAAGGAGAGAATAAGACGGCAAGAGAGAGAGAGAGTGTGTGTGCGGAGCAAAGAATAAGTAAGCGAGATAAGGACATTGAACGCTCTGAATCTCCTGAGCAGAAACCTCCACATAAGGCAGTTTGATTGGCGGCAAGTGGGTGTGAGGAAATGAATCATCCAGTCTCTGTTTAAAAAAAAAAACCTTTTCCTTTTCGTCTTCTGCTTTTCTTTCATCCCAATGCCCCCTTCATCCTCCTCCTCATCAAGCCTTTAGCCTCCCAGCCGTTTTTATTGGGCCGTTAAAGAGGTCAATAGGGATAAACAGCCTTCACTGTCACTTTCTCCTGTCCTTCCAAGCATCTAAACTGGAGATGTTCACTAGATCACAGCAGTATAGTGCATACAGTGTGCGGGAATATAATTATGTTGGCATCAAGGGTGAGGTTAGCTTTGTTCAAAAACATACTGTGCTGCCTACCTAGACTGTATTTTAATGCACCATCTACTAAAGGCCAACCAAAAAGGTAGGCAGCATGATGTTGACTTTTAAGATACCAAGTTTTGGCCTTCTTATTATTCAAAGATGGGATTGAATGTATCCTTCATTAGGTGCATTTCCATTACAGATTTGTGCAAAACTTTTGCGATATTATATTATCATATGATGATAAAAAATCGCGAAATGACAGCCTTTCTATTAACCGATGTTATGCGACTAAAATGTCATTTTTTTCCCTCTCGTGATAAGTCATGGCGACGGATGTTGGTAGTTTTACGTATAGCCACAGCCACTGCACTACCCATTATTTTGAATTGAAGGAGACATAGGCATGTATCTAATTTTTTTCCCTCTCGTGATAAGTCATGGCGACGGATGTTGGTAGTTTTACGTATAGCCACAGCCACCGCACTACCCATTATTTTGAATTGAAGGAGACATAGGCATGTATCTTTAGCAAAGCAGCACGGAGGGCCGCTTCTGGGATGCATTTTACGTGCCGCAGCACAGCTGGTATAAACACAAGCATTGAATAAAGTGGCCGTGTCGGAGCCGTAATGCACTGCAGACGTGTGCAGTGTTAATAAGGGGTTATCCATCCAAGCTTTAATGGCAAGGAAAGCCCATTATACTTGAGAGCGACGACGTATCAGGTGTTTCTTGTAGGTTATAGTACATTAAACAATGATCATGTGATTGTTATGTAAGACAGGTGACCTGTAAATGGCAAAAAAAGTTTCCATTGCAGTTTTCGCAAAATATTCCTTTTTTGAATTTACTGAAAATCCACCTCATGCGAGCGTAACATTTTTTTGCGATTTATGAGAGTTTTTGCAAAATTGACGTGTTTTGATTGGGCGTATTTTCAATTTTCAATTTCAGTTTGCGCAATTTGAAGGGTAATGTTAACGCAGGTATTGAGAATGCAATCCCAGAATGAAAATTAGTACTTTAATTCAACAAGCATTAAATCGATCAAAAGTGACAGTAAAGACATTTACAAAGTAACAAAAGATTTTTATTTCAAATAAAATGTAGTTTTTTTTTTTTTTTTTTACTTTCCTTTCATCAAAGAATCCTGACAAAAAGTTTCCCGGTTTACACAAAAATATTCAGCACAACAGTTTTTAACATTGATATGATGAGAAATGTTTCTTGAGCAGCATACTAGAATGATTTCTGAAGGATCATGTGACACTAAAGACTGGAGTAATGGCTGCTGAAAATCAGAATCAGTTTTGCTTCACAGGAATAAATTATATTTTTTAGATATATTTAAATAGAAAACAACAGTTCTTTAAAATTGTACTAATATTTTACATTACTGTTTTTACTGTATTTTTAATCAAATAAATGCAGCCTTGGTGAGCATTAGAGACTTCATACAGAAGCCAAACGTTTGAATGCCAATATATATTTAATTCAGTAGCAGAAAGTATTAATACAAATAATTCAGTATATTAATTAAAAATCTTTAGGTATGGTGGATGGATACGTTTCATTCAGCGGCAGAAAGAATCAGCAAAATTGATTCAATATAATTATTGAAATGGTCATATTTTCTGTTATTTTTAGTAGATGGATGCTTTTATTTTAAGTACCAAAAAATATCATAATTAAAATGGCATGTTTTACATTGTGTGGTTGTGTATTTCAGTGCTTAGAAGTTTTACATTGTTAGCTTAGCGCGATGAATCATTCGTTTGTTCTGCTCATGAACAGCGCTATGTGTGTGCTGTTCAGCATTAAAAGTCAGAAATTGATACAATTTATTATTCTACCTTAAAAGGCAGCTGCCTATGTAGGCAATAGACAGTGAGGCGGCTCGCTAGGTTTTGTAACAGAACTATTGATTTATTGTAGCTCTCTCATTTAGTTATTCTGTCACTTGTCGAGTCTCTGCTGTGCTCTCGTTATGCACCAGATCTTTTCTTAATTTCCACGCAAATGTGACGGCCCAGTCGCCTAATGCTTTGTGACAAGTCACAAAACCTTGTTACATTAATCATTGCAGGATGTGCTCTCCGTCACCCACACCGTCCGGATGGTTTCCTCAAAGATCTGCCCAAAACACCTTACCTAACCATTTTCTGAAAAAATATGAAATGTTTTCCAAACCAAAAATGGATATCCTGAATAAAGCAGGAGGCGTGGTGTCATTCTACAATTATAATTCGCTTAAGCAAAGAGCCGATTGTGATTTCTTTGTTTTTTATGTTTATAAAGGCTGTTTGCACATTTTTGATGCTCCCTTTCTCTTGCAGGCGACATCACTCAGAAAGGATATGAGAAGAAGAGGTCAAAACTGCTCGGGGCGTATCTGCCCCACCCTCCAGGTAAGAGCCCCAACTCTCACCTCACATTTAAAGGGTCACAAAGTGCGTTTGTACCCATTTGCACAGGTTTAAATAGCTGACAGAACCAGCTTTTCTACAGCAGATGGGTTTGCCTTCCCTTCTCTCATTTAAACAGATCCTAAAAACCTGCAATGGGAATATTTCCTGTGGGCTAATATTCTAGGCATTAAGATCTCAAAAGATGGATTTCACAGTCGTTCTCTCATACTTAAATGAGCAATGACTTTTGTAGGGCCTCCTAGGCTGCATTACTATGCAGATGGTAAGGTTGCACACCTATATATCCACCTTTATGCAGGCTTATGGGATTTAAATGCCCATTTTATTATTTGACAGGCAGGAAGCTTAGAGAATGTGCATGATTTGAAGTATCATTCATGTTCGTAGCACTTAGAGGTTTGTTCTCATCCATAACCCTATAATATGAATGTTTAGATGTAGGTTAGATGATCAGATATCTGATTTAGAAACATTCAAAAGTGGCCTAAATCAGATGTATAAAAATTGATTTTATAAACATCTTATACATGGAGTTTAACAAATTAGAGTTGGCTGACAGTCTAAATGCATCCTTAAAGTCTGAAGCTCCAACAGCTCTATTTGGTCTCTTCACTCCTGTGAAAATCTTATTTGGAAAGCAAGGCCATCCATAACCCAGGCTGGCTCCAGACTTAATCAGTCTATTTGCCCGCTTTTTCTTCAGTACTGCTTTAAAATGAGCTGATAAGTGACTGTAGGCACCAGAATTAAGAGGCTCCTCTAAGCTCTTCTCAAGAGCTTCATAAAAGGTGCTTAGAACTTTTTTCTCTCGTTTCATTGAACTGAAACAACCCCTTCTTATGAATATTAGTGGAATCTAATGAAAATGAATGTTCAGTGTTGCTTTTCAATAAGGGATTCCTCAGTTGATCACCCTGGTCACTCGTTTAAGTGCACTTAAAGTAAATACTTTGGATTTACATTTAGACTATCGATAAAATGCAGAGTCTCTGCTGATCAAGCGTCTCCGACTTCAGAAGGCATCAGTCTTTAAAAGCACACCGGCATCATTCAAATTAAGAGCTCGGTAGAGTAATTGCTTGGTGTCATTTTAAGAAGAACTGTGCTTTTTTCTAGATGAGGTGATTTCTTCTCTTTTACCGTTTTCCCAGTCAGGTATTCAGGACAATACATTTAGACAAGTTTCATAATCTCTTCTTGCTTTGTGATTTGAAACTATGAGTGTGTTCCATGAATTCAAATGCTTTCAGTGAACCGAAAAGTCGGATTCAATAATTAATTTACTAAATCACTCAACAAATGTTTATGAAACACTTGTAAAATATATCGATAAATATTTAAATATTGCCTTTCTCTGGAATTATTTTAATATGGTGCATATAGCCTAGATAAAAATTTAAATTTTCATGCTTTTTAAAATAAATTTTGTGCATGTGTAAAACAAGCCTTGTTACTGTTTTTTATATTTTAAAGTCACCTTTTTGAAGGCATATTCAAGGCAAATGCATAAATATCAAGTTGTATGTCTTCAAATGGTTGAACAAATATTAAGATATTAATATGTATAACAGCTGTATCACCCAGCCCTACCAATAAAGTTAGTGCTGCTTTTATAGTTTGGTAAGAATTTATGTAACTTTTGAAGGTCTCTGATTTGTGCTCGGCGTGTCTGGCTGCATTGTTGATTAGCACGGCTTCTGTTGCCATAGCAACAGGCAGCCCGCATGTTCCCAGTCTGGCTCCCAGTGAAAAAAAAATATACATGACATCATGCTCGGGCACAAAGCATGTATCGTAGACTGTGGGGCGAAGAGCGGCATGCGCCAGACTCAATGCGATGCCTTCATTCCTGCGGGAACTGGTGTTATTTAACAGTCCCGTAAAGGCATGAACTTGCGTTTAATAATCAGTTGTTTTATGTACTGGAGCAAGGGAACGTGGCACAGTGACACCTCCCTCAGTGATTGTGTGTGTGTGTGTGTGTGTGTCTCCTAGTTTTTAAGAGCATCCGGTTACCAGCACAGAGGAGAGATTGTCTCCGTGGCTGCCTTCGACTGAATGACAGCCGTACTTAGACGTTAACCCAATCAGTATTGATCGGTGACTGTTAACCCTCTGCTTTTTAGTAGGAGAAAGACTGTGTGTTCATAGTACGTGAGTCAGAAATGCACCATCACATCCTCCGCTGCATGAGCTGGTGCATGATTCTGACTTAACCTGCTGTCTCACCTTCTGCCTTATTGAATGAATAAATCCACCCGCTGGTGTCTTAGGCTATGTCAGCACGGGGCCAAAATTGATTTCTCCGGCCTGCACGCAGAGCTCTTGGCTGGAACACTGAGCGCAACCTGGGCCGTCTCACGTGTCCTAAAATCTGCCAGGAGGAGCAGAGTGGTGCTAAGCTCTCCGTTCTGAATCCAAGACAACAAAGAACAACAGAAGAGAACAGAGCTAGCTCATCACAAGAACCATTGATATGAGTCATAGCCGACCAATCGCTGCTGTGTGTGCCTGGAATTAAATATTTGATCTTTTCTCAATCAGGGCTGCACTGGCATAGACACATTGGCAGATATGGCTCGTCTATATATGGCCCACATGGAATCAGCAGCCACAAAACTCACAGAACTCTCAACAGATTTCCACAGAATTTGAAAATGTTATTAGTAAAATCTGAAAATTCTCTGCTCTGCAGAATTAAACAGATTTTTCTTCAGAATTTGTTAACAAAAAGTTATATAGGACTGCCAATGTTTAAATTATTTTTCATATTTTTGCAGTTTTATTTTTAAATTTTATTTTACACTTCCAACCAAATGAAATCAAGTGTCAAAACATTACAATAGTAGAAAGATTAACTTGAATGTTTTGCACTTTTGTTGCCATTGAAAAAGAATATACTGTTTAAATTGGATAAAATAAGATATTATCCTTCAATAACTAGATAGTTATGTTTGTCAGTGTTTATAAATTATCTATTTTGTTTTGTTTTTGGATTGCTTATTTTTAGTGTATGTTTTCTGGATTGCTTGTGTTTTGTTTTTTGGATTACTTTTCTTTTGTTTTGCTAGTATTTATTTTTGTTTGTTTTACTTTTGAGATACAAACTTGCATTTGCGAGTCTTTATCTCCTAATTCTGACTTGTTTTTTAAATTCCAAGTTTATATCTCGCAATTCTGACTTTTTTTATCGCAATTCTGACTTTCTGATAGTCTGAATTGCGAGATATAAACTCGCAATTCAGAGAAAAAGACTCAGAATTGCGAGTTTATGTCATGCAATTCAGAGAGAAAAAGTCAGAACTGCGTCATAACTCGAAATTGTGAGTTTATATCTCACAATTCTGAGAAAAAGTCAGAATTGCGAAATGTAAACTCGCAATTGCGAGAAAAAAAAGTCAGACTTGTGAGATAAAAAGTCGCAATTACCTTTTTAATTTTTTATTCAGTGGCAGAAACGGGCTTCCATAGTTTTGCTTGTGTTTTGTTTTGTTTGGAATTTTACATCTCCAAGCGAAATCTATCATAAAACATTATAATGTAGAAACATTAAATGACTGTTTAGTATATTTATATATTGGCATAGAAAAAACATTTTTAAATTTGGGGAAAAAAAAGATTCTCTTTCCAATAATTAATAAAACCTCTATTATTGGTCGGTACTAATATATTGTGCAGCTGCTGTTGTAAAAAACAACAAACATTTAGGTCTGAAGGGGTGAGAGATCCAAAAAAGAGGATGACAATATATTACAAAGAAAAGCTGCGCTGAACTTAGAATGAGTCAAGAAAGTAGGTTGCCAATGAGAAATTGAAAGAAGAAACCGCTGATTAAAATGAGAACAAATCAGTGTACCTGTATCTCTTAGCCCATCTGTGCGGGAGAGTGTTACAGGAAGAGATCAATGAAGTGGATATGTAATAAATGAGTCCCTGGCTGAGACATGTAATTGTCCCTCTCTTGCTCTCTTTGTGTCCTTTAGGGCTGGAGGGGTCCATGGCACACGAGCGCCGGCCGCCCATGGCGTCCTCCGCTTCACGATACCACCGTAGACGCTCCTCCGGCACCCGTGATGAACGTTACCGTTCAGGTGAGTCAGCGGGGAGTTTATTCCAGCAGTGCAATGAGTGATTCATCATGATTCTAAAGCCCCGTTCACACCAAGCACGATAACTATAAAGATATAGTTCTAAAAATCATTCTCAATATTAAAGAATAGCAGAGTCCACACCACAACTATAACGATAAAGGCACAGAGAAACGATATCGTTGGAATCATTTTCAGAACGATTTTTTCCAGCTGATGAACGATAAAAACATTGACAGCCAATCATAATTCATCCTGCTATAACGAGCTCGAGAATTTAAAGCGGCAGACGCACGTGCGCTTAGAATAAACAGACGATATCGTTCCAGGGCTCCAGACTGTGATCAAATTTTGCGACTATTTTTTCTGCCGGTGTGACTAATTTTTGTGAGAGGTTGCACTGGTGCGACCACCGTGTTGTCCAACTCATAAGCGCTGCCATTTCTGTTGCATTTGAGAAACATCAAACGGCAAACTAAACGAAAGCGAAACTAAACCACGCTACTTTTCAGCTGCGCAGCGCGGATCGTTTATCAGATCGCACCGTGATGTAAACAAACTTGTCCGAGCTCAGAATAGCTTTACTCGGGAGCCAAAATTGATTTTGCGACACTGGTCTGTGCTGTGAGATCCAGCGAGAAGCGTTTGAATTCGCCACACAATGATGAGTTTGTTGCGAGATCTAGTGAGAATCATTCAAATTCTGCACAGAATTCTCTGTTATAAACAGCACTGACATAGCCTACGTCAGGAAACCAGAAGCGGTAATGCTAACTGTAACCATGGTGTTGCGGTAGAAATAGTCGAATGCATTACATTATTCATTTCAGGGTTTGTACAACCTTTTGAGAGAGAAATTCAAGCACTTTTCAATGACTTTCAAGCATTTCACACAACTATTGTGAAACTATCCAGCATTTTAAAGCTCTAAAATGATTCAATTTGAATGTTATTTTTAATGGGATGACCAAAATTATGTAAAATGTAAAAAATACTTCAAATCACAATTATAACCAGTAGACGGCAGCAGAGGAGCACTTATTGGCTTATTAGTCATTCATTTAATTTAATTTCTCGATATTTTGAAATTATAAAATCACTATTATAAAATATAAAATCATCAAGAAATCAGATTTTGTCAGAATGTTACACTTTTTTGTGTATGAAGGAAGAAAAGTCGTAAAGTGCCTTGAAAAACAAACTTTTCTTCAATTTGCTACTAAATCACACATAATCACTGAAGTTGGTCAGTTCCAGGGCTCGCAAAATCGCCTACCCGACGTCCCAGGGCTATTGTGTTTTCCAGTCGGGCTACCAAAATGTATCACCACTCTGCCCGACGGGCTATCTTAAATACAGATCTCCCGCAGGTCCTTAAAAACTCATAAAGTGAGTTGTATCAAACTTAAGGCCATAAAAAGTTTTAAATATGCTAAATGGTATAAGAAATGTCTTAATTATAAGTTAAAGAGGATCTTACAGTTGGGGACAGAAACACAAGAGTGGCGATACGGCTGGATTAAACTTCAAAAGGCAATGATGCCACTGAATAAATATGAGCGCTGCACGTTTCAAGTCAAAACGCGGCGCAGATGTCTTTATTTGAGTGTATCTGAAGGGAACCGACTGTCCTCAGAGACGTGTCGTTGGCATTTTAATTTCATTTGACCTATAATTCCTGATAAAGCAGCGTTTATTAGCGTGGAGCTGCTTTGTGTACAGCCCTTATCAGGGAAACCGCAATATTTCAGCACTCCTAAAGCACCACCTCCTGGCAGAGAAGGAATTTGCATTTCCAACAAGCCTTTCTTGCTGTTTATGGTCAGATCAATGCAAATATCAACTCATGTTTTTATGCAGCAAACACATAGAATTGTAAATGAGAAAGAAGTTAATGTGCCTTATAAAAATCTAAACAATTAAGACAGTAATATTTATAAATTTTAAATTTACATAATTTATATGTTCGATTTATCCCTTTTCATAAAAATGGTCTAAAGGCTGAAATGCTGTCGTATACGATTTTTGTTTTTGTGAAAACCTGTATCTGAACTGTAAATCATGTAATTTTATGGCTCAATACTGTATGTTACCATAGACATTGTCCAACCCCATAAATGGCCTTAAATGTATTTTTTTTTAATTCTGCAGATACCCTGTAAATAGTGAAATAAAATTCCTGCCTTCATATTTGTTGATATTTGTGTATTGAAAATATTTTGATTGACATTTAAACTCCTATCTGATTTTCTAAATTTAAAAAAGGTATTTAATTTGGGCTAGTTAAATACATTTTCGGGCTACCAAAATCTGAAGAGTACCTGCCCGAAGGGCTACCAGGGATTTTTAAATTTTGCGAGCCCTGAGTTCCATATACTAGAAGAATAATGGTACATTTAATAAGAGTGGAATATATACATTTTCTATATAAACATGAGATTTTACACCTGTTACTGTTAATAAAAGTACATTTTGTATGCATCTTAACTCAAGCTAGTAATTTACTGTCAAATCTGTATAAACAATAAAAAAAGAAAAATGATCAAGAAATTAACATGCAATATTATTAGTAACTGCACTTATTAATGCAAAACGATAGTCATTTTATGATTAAATTATCTATATTTTAATACTCCCACACACCACCCCCAGTGCTACCAAATCTGCTCCTGGTGCCACCATCTGTAGAACTTATACAGGCACGGTACGGCTCAGTACGGTTCACTTTTGGGGGGTTTTCCACTAGGTACAGTACCTGGTACTTTTTTTAGTACCACCTTGGTTGAGGTTCCAAGTGAACGTACCGTTACCAAAATGTGACGTGTAAACTCTGCTGATCACGGATTGGCCGGAGAGAATCGTCACTACCTGCGTCACTGAACTTGCGACACAAACACAACAGAACATCTAGATTTTAATCAGCACAGCCAGTGAAGGATCGAACGCAACTGTTGAACAAGCGCGCCTTTTTTAACGACCAAAAAGTGGCTGTTTCGCTGTCTGTTGAGGAAGTACAGACGTTCCTCTCGTTGATAGCAGAGGAGCGGATCCAGCAAGAGTTTGATGGGGCGAGGCAGAATGAAAAAGTTTTTCAGCAGTAGAGGCGGCACAAATATAAACGACCCGTGAATAATCCCGCCCACTCTAAAGCGGTACTGAACTGCAGTGGAAACGCAAACCGAGCCGAGCCGTTCCGTGCCGTACTGAGCAAAAAAAAAAAAAACTTGGACATCAAGGAAAAGAAAGAAATAATATAATTTTTCTTTAATATTAAAATAAAACACACACACACACACTCTGTTTTAAATGATAATGGTATAAATGCATGACATTTTAACAGGTTCATCCAAAAAAAAATGTAATGTACATATAGTATATATATGTATATAAATCATTTAAAACAGTGTGTTTTTTTTGCATGTCAGATTATGGATTTGTTTATCCCTGAATATGTCACTGGCCTCCTCCCTCTGGGCAAATATACAAATATTGATATATGATATGTACGTTTGAGAGATTTATCGGCCATAAGCTGTACATATTAAAATTGTATCTGTCCCTGTCCTGTCTCTGTATGTCCTTTAGACAGCCACATATGCCATACTGAGCAAAAAAAAACAAAAACTTGGACATCAAGGAAAAGAAAGAAATAATATAATTTTTCTTTAATATTAAAATAAAACACACACACACACACTCTGTTTTAAATGATAATGGTATAAATGCATGACATTTTAACAGGTTCATCCAAAAAAAAATGTAATGTACATATAGTATATATATGTATATAAATCATTTAAAACAGTGTGTTTTTTTTGCATGTCAGATTATGGATTTGTTTATCCCTGAATATGTCACTGGCCTCCTCCCTCTGGGCAAATATACAAATATTGATATATGATATGTACGTTTGAGAGATTTATCGGCCATAAGCTGTACATATTAAAATTGTATCTGTCCCTGTCCTGTCTCTGTATGTCCTTTAGACAGCCACATATTCAAAATAGAAAGATGAAAGATTAAAAAAAGGGTTCAGTAGTCATGAGACACAGCGTTTGAGCTTTTCGTTACGGAATGAGGTTTTGTGATTTATGGTAGATTTGAGGCAAGTTTCCCAACAATAAATACACATTTATTTTTGTATTTTTTAGTAGTGCTGAACAGCACATACCAGGCTTCAACCACTGTCTTTCTTTAATGACAACGTGGAATCAAAGTGGACCATATTTACAGTAATATTTACGTTCTTAATAAATGTCCCTGCTCTTATTGTGCACATTCTCAGCCTCTGAAGCCACTTTCCTCCTCTGGTGATGTCATCAAGGCCACACAGTTGAGGAAAAAAATTAAAATGAACTAATAATATCATCAGCTCCAGTCAAATCCATATGGTTATGTCAAACTCCATCTTATATAAACTACTCAGAAGTTTATATAATGAAAATGCAATTGAAACGTCTTAAGTGTAAGTGTCAATGCATTTAAGAAAAATAAAAGACATTTAAATCACCATTTTGCTACCCTTTTGGCTCAGAATGCATTTTGAAATTCACACTGCATTTTGCGACGATTATTACTTGGTTTCACGAAACAAATGCAATCTCAAGTCTTTCATACCCGTAAGTCTAAATGCATTTAGGAAAAGTGGCATTTAAATTATAATTTTGCTTGGACATGTTAAACATATCTATTCAATTTGGGTAATACAATTTCATTTTAATTTTGCAACTTATAAAGCATTAAAATATGTTTTAAATTTACATATTAAAACTGGTGTAGAAAATGGCAAATGTAAATTATATAATTGAATTTTAATTTTAATTTTGCACTAAATGTTGCACATATGTATGGGAAAATGTACATTTAAATACAGAAATACATTGCCATTTTACATATTGCAGTCATTTTGCATATTACATTTCAAAATGAATTTTGCTACCCATATGCTTCCATATATCAGTTCCCTTTAACTGCATTTGAAAATCAGAATATGAGCAAATATCATATCGGATTATTCATGGGCGTGTAAACACAGTCAGTGTGTTGATGGAATATGTTGTTCTGTATCTCATTAGAGAGTCCAAATAACAGCTTGGATTATTAGAGGCCGTGACTCTGCCAGCGTGAGGAGTGCAGCCGTGGGTACAACCTACAGTCAGCCATGGTGTCATCTCTCTCTCTCTCACACACACACACACACACACACACACACACACACACACACTCACTGAGATGAGTCAGTAATGCAAGATCACAGAAGGGCTGGAGGTGGTGGCTTCTCTCTCGTCACACACTCTCACGACCATCGGCCAGAGAGACTCATCTCATCCACGTCACTGTAAACACCAGCTTGGAGGTCAGCGGCTAGTTAATACAGATTCCCTTCATTTCATTTCTCGTTTTTTTCCCTCCTCAGACGTCCACACAGAAGCAGTTCAGGCAGCACTAGCCAAACACAAGGAGAGGAAGGTGGCCGTTCCCATGCCGTCCAAACGCCGTTCTCTAGTGGTACAGACCTCTATGGATGCCTACACCCCCCCAGGTGAGCTTCACACCTGATTCTAAATCATCGTTCATTTAAAGTCATCATGAAATCAAAAATAAATGGACTCTTTTTTACATTCTTAAAAGGAGAATTTGCCTAGAAAAGCCCAGTGATTATTTATTCACCCTTGTGTTTTTCTAAATATTTAAAGACTTTTTTAAAAGACTTTATTTCATCCTTGTGTTGTTCTAAATCTTTAAAGACTTAAAAAAAGACATCCACATCAATGGAAAGCTTATTTATTTAGCTTTCAGATGATGTGTAAATCTCAATTTCGAAAAATTGACCCTTATGACTGGTTATGTGGTCCAGGGTTACATATATTACTATATACAATATATATATATATATATTAGGGCTGGACAATAATTCAATATCAATATGTATCGCGATATATTTTTTTTCAATAACGATGATATGGTTTTTAAACACATTTCCGATATTTCGATATAGCCTACATTACCAGTGTTTCCCATACATTGATTTATTTGTGGCGTTTGACTTCGTTGAATAAACATGAGCACTGCACGTTTCAAAATCAAAACTTGTCGCGGGTGTTTTATATTAATGTATCTCTAAAGGGAAAGGACTGTCTTCAGAAAAGTTTCGATGGGATATTTATTTTATCTAATAAAGAAGTGTTCATGAGCGGAGCTGATTTGTTTACAGCCATTACTGGAGAAACCGCTAGTTCAGCCGCTCTTAAAGCACCTACTGCTGGCAGACAATCAGTTTGCACTTTTCATACTCTTTATACTGGCTATCAGCCTACACTTACACTACCAGTCAAAAGTTTTTGAACCTTTCTTTTCGTGGCCCTAATAATTTATCTTGGATGCAACTACATATTATTTTCTTGAAGAATTTTCTAGTTTATTTTGAAATCCCTCCAAAGGGTTGCAAATCCCTTTTCATGTTGACTTTAATCGCTCTTGTCCACCTTCTGGGCTGAGTGTTGAGTGGGTCTGAGTGACTCTCACTAGGCCTCTCCCCCCTCTCCTCTCTGCCCCCCCTGACAGACACCTCGTCCGGCTCGGAGGAGGAGGGCGGCCAGGGTGAGGGTACCCCCACCTCCAGCCAGGGCAGCATCGGCATGGAGCACTGGATCAGCCGGGCCATCCACCAGGGTTCCACCACCTCCTCCTCCTCATCTTCGACGCAGAGTGGGGGCAGCGGAGCTGCCGGGCGCCTGGCTGACGTCCTGGCTCAAACGCATGTCGGGAAATCAGGTAACGCCCCCTCAACAAGCCCCGCCTCCACATCTATCCCTCAGCCAGTCACTCCCACACTTCCTGCCATGCTTCTAAACCCCGCCTCCCTCGCCTTTGTGTGCTGTCTGCACCTTCTTTTGCTCCTTATCGTATATCTGTGCTGTTGTTGAACCACGCTAGCCATCATCAACATGATTCTCTGCTAATCACCCCTAAACTTGTGTCTTTCAAGAGGAAGTAATGAGTAACGTTTGTCTGTAGACTCTGATAGGTGCACGGTTCAACAGTAAGGATGGTCCAATACCAGTTTTTGGGCCAGATGACGAAACTGTCACAATAATTTAGATTCTGATTCTGATGATTTGTGTCACCAAAGTTGTGCAAATTATTTGCAATAGTCTTAGCGGCTTCAGTTATAATGAGTTAAATCATATGTCACTTTAAGCATTTGTTTTCCAGCAAAAGTGTGTTGAATTTATAGCCGTCATGGAGATATAATTTGTACCTCCAAGTTATTATATAAATGTAAACATAAATAATTGTAAATTAATTAATTATTTTTTATAATGATAAAAAATACATTTCTAAAAAAAACTATACATTATAAATTTTTTAGGTATTTTGTTTAAATGTAAAACTTATAATTTATATTGATTTATTTAATTAAATTTTGTATTAAATTTCACATTAATACATTACTTTCTGGCCCATATAAAACCCTGCTGCTAAAAATATATGTTAACATTTTTGCTATAATTTCTATATAATTCTAATAAAATTTATTGCTAAAATCTGTTAATGACCCCTGTCAATTCCTTTTGCACCTAATAAGGTTTTTTTTTTTTTTTTGCTTGTGTTAAGAAAACTTAACATGTAATAAAAAAGTGTAAATATATTTCATTAAATATAATATATAATAAAATACAGACAGGGCAGGTACAGATCTTCTGGTCTGACCGCACCAGCAGAAAATATACTTGTTGTTGGGCCCTGAGGTAACAATTAATTCAACACAGAGCCAGTTACATCTCCCCATTTTGTCTGTTTAAAGTAGTCCTGACTAGCCAGTGCTGCACAGATGGCAAATCTATCCATCCAGCTGATTTTAAATGTAAACAGAGAACGCAGCAGGAAGAGGAAAGAGTTTAACTGCCACTTTCCCCTCCTCCACTCAGAGGCCATAGAAAGAAAAGGGCTTGAAGTTGTAGACTGTGGCTAAGGGATGAGCTAGGGTGTTTTAATAGAGCTATGATGTTATGTAGGAGTGCCCTGTGGAGCAGTTTAATGTCTGAAGAAAGGAACTCATCTCTTTCACACTGTCCTGTTACCTCTCTTCATATTCCTTTTTATTTCCCCTCATGATTTGGTTGCCTCATCATTCTACCTCAGTTTCCCTTTCCTCTGTCGACTTTCTTTCCTCTTCTATCCTCTTTTCCTTCCACCATTTTGTTTCTTCTTAAGGGCATTTTACACGGTGCGCTATAGGCGCAATGTTTTACGATTTTACAAGCGCTATTTCATACTCACAAACACTGGCAAAAGTTGCCTGCCACTGATTTAGCTCAAGGCTAGCGACATCTCAGAATGAAACGATTACTGTAAATTATATTCTGTGTTACTTCCAAGTTGTAGATAATGACACTGCCCTGCTAAAAATCTTTTTTAAGGCCCATTCGCACCAAGAACGAAAACTATAAATATAACTATATTAGCGTTCTCACCTAAACACCCCTTGAATCTTTTCTCCCGATTTAATGCTCAAGCTATTTAATGTTGTCTAGATTCTGATTGGCTGTCAATGTTACTATCATTCATCAGCTAGAAAAAAATAATTCTGAAAGTGATTTAAACAATATTGTTCCTCTAGGACGTTATCATTATAGTTGTGGCACGGACTCCACTATTCTCATAGAATTAGGATGATTATTAAAACTTTAGATTTATAGTTATCATTACAGATATCGTCCTTGGTGTGAACCGGTCTTTAATCTGATCTACCTGGTCTGCCAGACTAGCCAAGTTGGTCTTAGCTGGTTTAGCGCGTTTTACCTGCTGAAAAGTGCCTAAAACCCATCCAAAAAACCAGCTGTAGACCAGCAAACCAATGTAGGCTGTTTTTGTTCAGCAGGAAACCAAATAACAAAATAAAATGACTTTTGTTTCTCCATAAAATAGGCTAACCATGAATAGAAATAAATGTGTTTGGTGGGCAGACATTTGCTATGTCTGAAAACGCTCATTATTTTACTCATTCATGTTGCGTGGGCAGCAGGGAGCGATTTTAGACACACCAACTCTGAAAGTGACAAAAAACATAAAAACTAAACAAAGTTGGATTGGTTGGAGAATAATGACACATAAAATATTCTGATTGGTCAATGACACATACATACAATCTTAGCGAGCTTTCAGTGCTACCTCCAACAACAAACTGGGAACTCGTGATTACCGTGTAAAAGAGCCTTTCGATCCTTTCCCTCCCTTTTTGTCCTCCCATATGATAATGTTGTGGTACCATCTAAAAGCAGACAACCAACCTCAAGAGAGTCAGTCGTGTTCGGAGCTCTCAGAACATTGTTAGTGCATATTAAGTAACACAGCAAGGATCTTTGGGTCATTTTTAAACTCACTGGACCAAGAACAAGTTCTGCAAGTGCTTCCCAGGTTGTTGCTTTTGTCCCATATTTGTCTCATACCGTTAGGAGAAACATGGCAGTGTGGGTGCTCCTTTAGGAATGCTCAATCATTCCCACCTCCTCCGTCCCACCTTCCCCTTCCATGCAAGATATCCAGAGTCCTCGGGACTCTGTTGGGAACATGGCACTGTCCATGCTCGGCTCATCAGCCCCCGTTCCTTCTGCCCCATCCATACCTGCGGTCAGCGAGGAAGCGGACGGCTCTAAGGTTCTGGTTCTCCCCCTTCCTCCCTTCCCCATCCAGGGCCGATCGCTCACCTCTCGTTGAAGAGGAAAACTATGCTCGGCATAGCAGAGAATGGAAACTCGCTGCGGCGCTCCTGTGAGTTTGGATCAGATCTTCTCTGGCCACCGCCCTTGGAGTCTGAGGGTCAGTATATGCCCCCCCAATGCACACACACACTTCCCCCAATCATCCGATCATCTAGAACATCTCTGTGTCCTCCGTGTAGTTCTCTCTGGAGTCTGAGGGACGATGGGCCCCTCGGTGTGTTTGTGTTTGGAGTCGTGTGCTGTAAATTTTATGACCTGATGTGTCTGATCGTCAATTCTACTGTGTATGTACCAATAAGTGAGAGAAACTTTCTGACAACAGTTCTGTTGTATTTTAGATTCGGTCTATCTGTGAGTAGTGACTGTGTATATTGTGTTTTTTCTAAATATATATGTTTTTTTTATTAAATTATAAAGTGCGAAAAGCTGTTTTCAGGCTTTTAGTCTGCTTTTAGATGTCCATTCTTTGTCTCTATGTGCTTATCGTTGTTGTTCTTTCCTGACCTTGTGTTTTTTAAAGAATAGTTCACTTAAAATTGTTTAATTCTGTCATAATTTACCCTTTATGTCTTTCTGAACCAATCTGACTTTCTTTCTTCCATGGAAGACAAAATTATGAATTTCTAAAGAATGTTCATGCTGCTTGTTATGGTGACCAGGGGTGCCATACAATCATCGTAAAAGTAAACTGGACAAATCATATACAATATTCCAAGTCTTCTGAAGCCATATGATACATTTATGTGAGTAACAGACTGAAATTAAGTTATTTTTCCAATAAAAAAAAAATCATACTTGTTGGCACCATTAAATTTTATTGTATAAAAAAGAGCAGCTTAGACATTCTGCAAAATCTTTTTCCATAGTGGAAAGAACATTGTACAGGTGTGGAATGACATGACGGTGAGTGAAAAATGGCAGAATTATCTTTTCTGTGTGCACTATTGCTTTAACTCTCAGTGTGTTGTCACTATCTGTGTATTTATCTGTTAAATTTGCATGATTATTTGTTTAAATGATGTAAATTGCATTGACGTTTGAAATGTTTACTGTTTAACTAGTGTATAACCATTGAAGTTATTTTCACATTGAAACAGGACAATACTAACTGCTATTTAAAGGTTTGGGGTCAGTAAGATTTTTTTTTTTTTTTTTTTTAAAGAAATACATTTATTTAACAAAGATGCATTAATTTCATCAAAAGGGACAGTAAATTCATTAAATTCAGCTTTGCATCACAGGAATAAATTTAAAAATGTAACTTTATATTCAAATAGAAGTTATTTTACAATGTAATAATTGTTCACAATATTAGTGTTTTACTGTATTTTTGATCAAATAAATGCAGCCTTGGTGTACATATTTCAAAAATATAAAAACAATTCACAGACCCCAAACTTTTAAACTGTAGTGTTTATTGGTATTTTGATAAACTTCTCATGTAATTTACAATACTCTATTTATAGGCTATGTTTTGAACAGTAATTGAATCAAAACTGTTCACATTTTAGTAGAATGATAAAAGAAAATTGGCTGTAATATTTCTTATCCATCCCCCCAGACTAGAAGGGTTGTGTTTGTCTGGGGTTTTCTTGTCTCTGTGACGCAGATTTGCCAGCAGGTTCCCTCACGTGACGCAAAACGTCATTTTTATTTGTCCTCCTACGAGCACCTCTGGGCTTTGAGGAAACTCCTTTTCCAGCACATTAGTGTCCGTGTCACTGAAGAGCAGGGGGGTGGGGTGAAGAGAGAGAGAGTGAAAGAGGGAGAGAGTTTGGATATGGGTTATTTTCAGCCTGTTACGTAAGCACTCTAGCTGCTGGGTGTTTTCTCGTACACTCATCACTGATGGTAGAGGCAGGAGACGAGGCAGAGAGGCCAGTGATGAAGCAGGAGACGAGGTGGAATACAAGGCAGGAAGGTCGAATATAAGGCAGGGAGGGAGTCAGGAGACAGGAGATTAGAGCTGGAGATCGATTTCCCAATTTCGATTCAGATTCACAAAGCTCTCATGGAAATTTGATTTAATTTTGATTAGATTCCAATTCATTTAGTTATATTTTAATAATTTTCCTTACATATTTTTACAGGTTTCAGACTAGTAACTTGTCTTTTTGAACTGTTCTTTAAAAGAAGAGTCATTTGTTTCAGGAATTGGGCTCCACATGTCATGATGTATGTTATTGATTCAAGAGTTGTTTGTTCATGAATCGGTCTGCACTGGTCACACTGTTTGTGTTTGATTCACTAAACATCCAGCTTATGTCCCTGAATCAGGATACATAGGTCGTGCTGTTTGTTTTTGATTCGATAAAAAGAAAGGCTCACAAGATTAATTTGTTTGAGAATTGAGCCACACGTTGCACTGTATGTTTTTAATTCGCGCAAAAGAACCAGCTCCTTAGAGTAATTTGTTTCTGAATTCTCTAGACATTTTGATTTGCTTAAAAGAACCAGTTCTTAAAGGGATACTCCACCCTAAAATGAAAATTTTTGTCATTAATCACTTACTCCCATGACGTTCCAAACCCGTAAAAGCTTTGTTCGTCTTCGGAACTCAGTTTAATATATTTTGGATGAAAACCGGGAGGCTTGTGACTGTCACATTGACTGCCAAGTAACTTACACTGTCAAGGTCCAGAAAAGTAAAAGCATTGTCAGAATAGTCCATCTGCCATCAGTGGTTCAGTCTGAATTTTATAAAGCGATGAGAATACTTTTTGTATGCGAAGAAAACAAAAATAACGACTTTATTCAACAATTTGTCTCCTCTGTGTCTCTCCACATCACCGTAGCGCCATTTTGGAGAATATCCACTGAACGCATGCAGCGTACGCTCTTCTGTGTCAGCCGCGCCACACGGATGAGCTGTTTTCATTCAAATCAAAGCGTAACTACACGTAGAAAATGTATCCTTGTGTCGCGGCTGACACAGAAGAGCGTACGCTGTTTGCGTTCAGTGGATATTCTCCAAAATGGCGCTACGGTGATGCAGAGGAGACGAATTGTTGAATAAAGTCGTTATTTTTGTTTTCTTCGCGTACAAAAAGTATTCTCGTCGCTTCATAAAATTCAGATTGAACCACTGATGGCAGATGGACTATTCTGACGATGCTTTTCGTACTTTTCTGGACCTTGACAGTGTAAGTTACTTGGCAGTCAATGTGACAGTCACAAGCCTCCCGGTTTTCATCCAAAATATCTTAAACTGTGTTCCGAAGATGAACAAAGCTTTTACGGGTTTGGAACGACATGGAGGTAAGTGATTAATGACAACATTTTCATTTTGGGGTGGAGTATCCCTTTAAGAGTCAGTTGTTCATGATTCATACTACACTGATCTCAGTTTTTGTTTTTGATTCATTAAAAACAACTGACACATAGGAGTCATTTGTTTGGGAATTAGACTACACTTTTCATGCTGTATGTTTTGATTCAGTTCATAAGAGTCATTTGTTTAAGAATAAGACTTCACTAGTAATATTTTATGTTTTTGATTCACTAAAAAAGCTACGCTGGTAGTCACATCAGTTCTTCAGGAGATGAGAGAGAGTAGAAGTAGTGCTGATGGTGGATGGAAGCCAAGTCCAGGGGTTGTGCCCTTCCTTAGTCACGTTCTCCATCACAGTCCCCTTCTGTGCTTGGCGCAATTCCTCAGACAGGAGGCATCTCGCTCACTCACTTTCATTCTGTCGCCACTAGTGACAGCTTGACTTATCTCTCCCAGATATATGACTAATACTTCAGTTTATATTTATACATGATAACACTATATATTTATATATTTATTTATAAAGTCAGTCAGAAACAAGCTGATTTATGGAGAAATAGAGCTATAAATTTACTGTGAGTCTCTATTGAAAAGCACTAAAATACACCACTCTGTCTAGTTATGATATTAATGTATCATATCAGTCAGATACAACTCAGGGTCTACATAAAACGTTATTACATTGAAAACCATCTATGCTGAACTAAAGCTAAGTAGCTAAAAGCCTCTGACTGTGTTGTCCTTGATCACAGTGGACGTTTCTGTTAGGGCCGTTTGGGTGTTTTATGGTGGAGGAGGAATAGTGCCGCCTCATTGGCATTCTCCTCATTCCCGGTGTCGAAATTACACATGGACGGTTATTTCTCTCTGAATGGCTCGATTGGAGCACAGGATATAATGGAAGGAAACTTTTATGAGCTTTTAGTGAAAGGCACATCCATTGACATCTGCCGTTTGAAATTGTGCAAAAAAGGTAAATTACATTTATTTAGTCAAACGTTAGACAGCACAAACTCTGTAGGGGTATCATAATGGTAATATGTGGTGGCCAAGGGCACTGAATGTGAAAGAGACATTTCAGAAGCGAGCTGAGGGGAATGAGAAAGAGGCTGCAGACAGCTGAGAATTTATGATCGGAAGGGGAGGGTGAACGGCAAGAGAGAAGCCCAGCAGACTCACCGAGTGGAAGTAAAAGGGACTGTAATTAAGGAAAGGATGAAAAAGCTCTCCTCTGTGTCTCTTGCATTCCATCCGTCTCTCCATTTCTCTGAGACATGTGCATAATTTGCTCAAAATCACTTCCTGTCTGCCCCAACCCTCTTACTTTTAGTCATAAACAATGTGCCAAGTGTGTCAGGGCTCTGTATCAAAGCCAGGTAGGACTGAAATCCTGTTAGAACAACAAACCAGTTGGTTTATAGGCGGTTCCATTTGGTTGGTCAAGCTGGTTATGCTCTGTATAACATAGACTGATCAGCCAATGATAAACGTGAACCAGATGTAAATTTTTTAAATATGATAGCTGGTTTAAAGCTGGTCCACGTTGGTCATTAGCTGCAACAGACCAGTTACCAGTTGGTTTATAGGTGGTTCAAGTTTAGTCAATGGCAGGTCAAGCTGGATACTTACTATATAATATAGATTTATGAGCCAATGACCAATTGACAATTTTTTTTTGGAACATGATAGCTGGTTTAAAGTTGGTCATTAGCTGCTTATAGGTTTTCAAGTTAGTCATTGGCTGGACAATGGCCAACTCAGATTGACTGGTGTATAATATAGATTGGTCAGCCTGCAACAAACCAGTTACCGATTGGCTTCTAGGTGGTTCAAGTTGGTCATTAGTTGGTCAAGTTGGTTATGCTCTGTCTAATATAGATTGATCAGCCAATGACCAACTTGAAATAGCTATACATTTTTAGAACATGATAGTTGGTTTAAAGCTTGTCCAAGTTGGTCATTAGCTGCACCAAACCAGTCACCAGTTGGTTTATAGGCGGTTCAGTTTGGTCATTGGTTGGTCAAGCTAGTTATGCTCTAAATAACATAGACTGATCAGACCAACTTGAACCAGATGTAAATTTTTTAAATATGATATCTGGTTTAAAACTGGTCCAAGTTGGTTATTAGCTGCAAAAAACAGTTAACAGTTGGTTTATAGGGCGTTCAAGTTGGTCATTGGCTTGTCAAGCTGGTTATTCACTGTATAATATACAGTTGGTGGATTAGCCAATGACCAACTTGATTAACCAGCCATACATTTTCTGGAACATGATAACTGGTTTAAAGCTGGTCCAAGTTGGTCATCAGCTGCAACAGATCAGTTAACTGGTTTATTGCTGGTTTAAGTTGATAATTTTTTGGCCAATATATATGATACAGTGAATAACCCATTTGGACCAGTTATACACCAGCTTCCCATTCCTCCAAACCACTTAAGCTGGAGTTTCTTATTCTGCATTTTGATTCCTTCTTATCTTTCCAAACCCAGAGAATCACTCAGCCCCTCCGGACGTCACCACCTACACCTCCGAACATCCCGTTCAGGTAGAGAGGCCACAGGTGTCCACCGTACCCCGGACCACACCCAAATATGGCAATGCCAAACTCATGGAGACCGGAGATGGTGAGGGCACGAGAAATGTGTGTGAAAGAAAAGGAGTGAAGTTTTAGAGACAGTAATGACGTTTTCATTTAAAAAATCACAATGAGCTTTGAAAGATTTACATGAACCGTTTTCCTCAATCATTTTGACAGCCCATCTAGCATTTCTATTCCACCCTAACTTTATTTATTTTGGCAGATGGTTTTATACAGAGCAACTTGCATAAAGTCCCCCTGCAGCAACCTGGGGTTAAGGACACAATGGTGGTAGCTGGTATAAATGCTGCAAAAGTATTGCTTATTGTTAGTTCATGATACGCAAAGCATTACAGTGTGTAATGCTTTACGTATCAAAATACAATTACAGTATGCATTTTAAAAGCACACAACTAAATTATTAAAAACTAACTGAAATATAAAAATGAACACAAATTCAATAATTCTATAGTAGTATGTAAACAATACAAAAACAACACTAGTTGATATTTAATGCTTGAATGTTATCAAATTACTGACGCTTTATATATGTATGTGTTATAATGGTTGATGTAGTTGTAAGTTGTATGTAAGCCCTAGAGATGATAGAAACAGTCTTAAATCTGCTCTGATGGATCCTCTGTTATGGAGCTGTGATTGAGGGCATTGATCCCACTCTTATATTATTACTCTTTAATTTGATCTCTTGGGGACGCCCCTGAAGGCGCATTTGACTGCATCTGTCAGAGGCATTAATCAATAATGTTTGTAAAATTGATTTGTTTGGGGTAAGATGAAAATTGAGGTGTTGGATACATAAGTAAACACAGCAGAGGGGAGTTGATCATCTTCATTGTGCACATTAAGCTATCCATCTAATCTGTTTATGGCCAGTCCTTTAAACCCAGACAGCCTTCTGTGTGTGTGTGTGTGTGTGTGTGTGTGTGTGTGTGTTTATAGGCTCGTTCAGGTAGATTCAGGAAATTTGATTCATGTACAAATGGTAATATTTTTTTTTTTTTCCAGGATTGTGTGTGCTTGTGTGCATTAACACATGTGTTTCCTCCTTAGGCGTCCCAGTTAGCAGTCGTGTTTCGGCTAAAATCCAGCAACTTGTGAACACACTAAAGCAGCCCAGACGACCTCCGCTTCGAGAGTTTTTTGTTGATGATTTTGAAGAGCTCCTAGAAGGTGAGTGTTTGTCTCAGCATAATAGTTTTTTGGAGCTTTTCTGAGCTTTTCTTATAAACAAACAAATAGAGACATACACAATACCTGATTTGCAAACAAATCATTCTTTTGAATCGGTTCTTCTGATCTTGAATCAATCAATCAATAGAATCAACTAAGTGGTCAACATTTAATTAAATATATCTCGACTACAAAAACAGCAGTGATGAGTGATGATTCAAATTAACCGGTGATTCAACAGTTCACGGATCATTGAAACGAACCAGTTCAACAAAAACAACTATTTTTTGGGCTCCCTGAATGACCATGTTTTGCCTCGTCTGTTTTCAGTCCAGCAGCCTGACCCCAACCAGCCACGGCCGGAGGGCTCTCAGATGGTCGCCATTCGAGGGGAACCACTGGGAGTGGTCACTAATTGGCCACCATCTTTAGAAGCTGCACTACAACGCTGGGGAACCATCTCGCCCAAAGCGCCCTGCCTGACCACCATGGACACCAACGGCAAACCCCTCTACGTCCTTACTTATGGTAAAATAACCTTATTCAACTACAGCCATACATACAATGACCAACATCCGCATACAACCATACTGGAACAGAATAATAGATTTTCTCTCTTTTACTTCAGAATATTAAAACAGTCCACGTAGTCTGATATAGTGACCCCAAAAAATATTTGGACACTTAAGTCATGCATAATTTATGAATGTCTTATTTTTTATTATTATATTACTATATTTTATTTTGTTTTATTATTCAATTTTAGCATAACTAAAATATAATTTAATTATTTTTCAAACCATGTAGCTTCTGTTTATTTAAAAGAAATAGCACAAACACATAAAGTTAAAATTTTTACAAAAGGACAGTTATCCAATTTCAAATAATATAAAATATTGTTTAGCATTAAGATAAAAACTATTTAGACTATAAAGTCGTGCTTAATACATGAACTTTAAAAAAAATATTTAATTAAATTTCACTAACATTTCAAAAAAGGATAGTTTCAAATTAAAAGTGAAGTTGGGTACAGAAAAGCTTAATTTGTTTGCAGATGCCACTTGTTTAAAGGGGTCATATGATGCTGCTAAAAAGAACATTGTTATGTGTATTTGGTGTAATGAAATATGTTTATGCGGTTTAAGGTTCAAAAAACACATTATTTTCCACATACTGTACATTATTGTTTCTCCTCTATGCCCCGCCTTTCTGAAACGTGTCGATTTTTACAAAGCTCATCGGTCTGAAAAGTGAGGTGTGCTCTGATTGGCCAGCTATCCAGTGCGTTGTGATTGGCCGAATACCTCAAGCGTGTGACGGAAATGTTACGCCCCTACCATATTGTGATGCCCTGTCTGGCCGAAGTGATGAGACAAAAACATTAAAACCCATTGCATCGCGCCGCATAAACATAAAACCATGTCTGCATTTGTGATCGGAGAAATTACAAACTACAAGCGCTACTCTACACTACTCAAATCTCGCGATTGAATCGTCAGTGGCAAATACTTTAAATATAAAAAACGTACTTGCAGTCTGTGAGTCAGAACAGCCGGCATTGTAGTCTACTCTACCAGGATCAGGAAACAGTC